TGCACACTAAGATTCCAGTCTTTCCCATTTTAAYATTCCGAGGCCAGTCTAGGAGCTCTGCCTGTGAGCTCTGACCTGTATTATGGGGCCTTCAGTTTCTATTGGATTCTGGGTCTTACTGTGTTGATCCTGGAACTTGGCTTCAAGACAAAGCCCTGTACTAGCTTTCATGTCCTGCTCCACCATGGCTGAAGTTCTGCTACTCTGCCATTTACCCAAGGATGGAAATGGAATTAGTCAGCCACCTGGCCTTACACAGGTTCAGCAGCTCAGTCTACAGTATTAGCCCAGGGTCATCATGAGCCTTTGCCCAGCRCTAGGTTTCACCACAACAGACTTAGTACTTGGTTTTCGGGGAGAAGACAGTCAGCATCTCATATGGGAGTTCTTCTGCCTAGAAGAATCTAAGCCCCAAATGGCCACTCTAAATCTTAATATCTCAAATAATTAAGCCACCCTAAATCTTAATATCTCAAATAATTAACAAATAATAAAACACAAATACTYAGAAATATATTTACAAAAGCGAAGCCCCTGATAGATCTAGCCCACATGGGTTCTTGAACTAAACAAAAACAAAATGGCTCCTGTGGTTTATTTAAAGGGATACACCAAAGGTAAGGTTTCAAGGGTGGAGTCTTGCTTTGTGATATCTTGTGGTCAGCAGACTGAATGACATCTWGGAAGGTCACATCCATCTTARGTGCTGTGTGGGATCTTAGGCAGAGCTTGAGATGGAGGTTTACCTGCATCAAGCRATCAATCCCTGAGGGGGTACTACAGGGAGTTCACAATGCCAGACCTAACCCCTCATTAGGCTACTATGTGCAACATAGTCCACACACAGCCCCTGATGGCCAAGACACTAGGTTTAAAGTCTAAAGCTTGTATATCTCTCCCTCGTTAAAGTAGAAGGCATCTTGTTTCTTGATGGGCTGCGTAGCCTTGGGTGAAATTTGACACAACCCACTCTTTCCTTCCTGCCTTCTTCAGTATATCTTTTCATTTTATTATACTGGAAGAAGTCACTGTGGTCTCTCAACTGATTTCCTTAGTTCTTCTGAAGAAGTGGTTTGGTGCATGAACCGCTGGTCAACTTTTTGGGTTTGTKGGAAGACAATCACCAGAGGATCTTAGTGGCCATCTTGTTCTGCCATGCAATTCTTAAGGTTTCTTGAAGCTGAAGTCTCCACCCACACATCTTTTGTGCTCAGTGATCACCGTTCCCCAAACTTGCAAACAGGAGGTTTTCCCTGAAAATATTAAGCTAGGAATACTCCCGACCTTAGACACCAAACCCAAAAGAGAGCAGGCATCAGATGGGGACAAAAAAAGAAAAAGAGCATCAGAAGTTAAAGCAGGTGCACTTTAGTTATTATCCCATATCCCTGGTGAGAGATTAGATGGTCTCTCTGAAAAGACTGAAGTGCTCCAGATAATATTTGGGATGTTRTAATTAAAAATACATCTCAGTTCACTTATATGTCTGTTGATGCACTTGGGGCTTCAAATCCATATTATATATAATGCTCTTAAGTGGACAGCCAAGGATCAGCAAACACTTGAGAAAATCCACCAATAACTAAATATCAAGAACAACTAAACAACAAGAAAACATTGTTCAGAGGAAAAAGACACAAGTCAAATGGGAAGTGAGAGTTAAAACATATAATTAATATGGTTAGAAAAATCAGAAATGATTATATTCATGAAATAAGAAACAGAAAACAATCAATAAACCAAAAAATATGCAGAGATCTAAGGACTATGATAGCTAAACATGTACTGGTTTAATGGATGGCTCAAAAGACAAAAWCAAGAAATCTCCAAAAAATTAGAGCATAAGAAATAGTTGTAATAGAGATAGAAGACAGAGGAGAAATTAAAATTTGAGATTTAATTCTGGTAATCAAATATCCAACCCAAAGGAGGTCCAGAAAAGGACTGCACAGAAAAAAAAAAATGAAAGGCATAACACTTTAAAAGGAATAAATCAATAGAATTTTTCAAAACTGAAGGATATAAGCTGAGTCTCAAATTAAAATGCCCACTGAGTAACCACCAGAATTAATGAAGAAAGTGTAAATAGCAAAAAAKAGAAGACATTAAACCTTTAGGAGAGATGAATCAGGTTTCACGAAAAGGATCTGGAGTCACAATGGAACTAGACTTTTTAGTTCCAGCTTCATCGGTATACATCAGAAGTCTGGTTGCCATCATCAACAATTGGAAGTGAGTGGCAACCTCATTTCTGAATTAAAGAATAAGGGAAAGGCCCAAACATGCACAGGAAGTTACATTGTTATGGGTCTGAGCTGTCTATAGAACACAGAAAAGGAAAGTAGTAAAGTTTTAAGTAAATTAAAATTCAACCTATGCCCTGATCTTAATTCAGTCCGAGCTTAGCTGCTCTGAGGTTTCCTCATTTACCCACCTCCACCTCCTTGGTTTCTGTCTTGGAGTCAAATAACATTTAAAAGTAAAGTCTTAGAAATAATTCCCATATATTCTTTAATTTATAATTCTCCCTCCTCAATGATTTTAAAGGGTCATTGAAAGGAGAGAAAGAAGGAATTGGAAGTAGATTCAGAAAGTAGGGAAATCACAGTATTTATTGAATGCTGAAAATTGCCACACACGAGCCATCATTAGTACACAGGGATTTATTTCTCTTTGTCACCTTACCTCCAAACCATTTTTTTTCTCTACTTAATATAGAGGTCATTCAGAAGCAAGCTGGGACAAAGACTATTAAAACCAGCATTTTTTTACTAACACCACCTAGTATAATACTTGGCACAGCAAATAATCACCCTGCTCTTCCCTGCTTTTACTATCTTAGCAGTTCCTTCAGAATCTGTGTGGGGAAATAAATGCAATAAATGTATTTCTTGGTTTATTTTTTAGAATTGGTAGCTGAAATAGTTGGCAAAGAATTTTTAAAGAGTGCAAATTGAAATCCTTGTCATCTTATTCTTCAACACTAGGGGAAAAAAATAACCTTGAATGCAGTTTCTACTTTTTCCAAAACTCTCACGTGAGCTATTAATAGGTGACAAGTAAAAGTTGATTCATCTGCTAATGAGCTGAGAGATGGTCTGAAGAACAAAGAGAAAAATCAAAACCTTATGGTATTCATTTTAGATGAAAAAAAAAGGCTTCTGACAACTCAGAAAAATAATATCCAAGTGAAATTAACCCTGCATATTGTTGAAACAGAGCAGTGAAAGTAGCAACAGGCCAGGAACAACATAAACAAATACCGGGAAAGTTACTTTGAGAATTCATTTACTTCATTCTTAACACTGCAATAAAATGTAAGAGGGTCATTAGAGAAACCTTCTGCATTACTCCACTTAAGCAATCATAGTCTGTATGTAGTATAAAGAGAAATTACTCATGTGCTCCTCCCACTCAGCAGTTTGTTGTTACAGTAAAAATGACAGCAGAGCATGGCATTGCAGGTTAGTTTATATGGGTCTGACTAGACTGTAGAAAAAAGAAGGATAAGACAATTAGAAAATAATTTATAAAAGTGTGTTACTGAACTTTGAGCACACAGTAGATGGTCAGTATTTTTAAATTGACAGTGAAATTATTTCTTTAGTTAATCTAACCTAAAAACCACCCAAATCAATATACATAAGTACAAAATTTAAATGAAGCCTGCAGATTTCAGGTTGTCTTCATTCGTGGTAAAAATAGCCCCCGTTAAACCAACTGTCCTATGAATCAGGTCAAAATGAYTCAACTAATGAATGCTTACCTACTGGGGTGCTTTGCCTAATATTTATAGTAAGCTTTACCACAATGTCCATAGAAAGCCATGAACTGACTAACAGTTTAGAATTAGACTGCTTATTTTAGTGCAGACTAATAAATTCTGACTATTTCACTTTGAAAATAAAGAAACCCCTCAGCCCATGATAGTTAAATCAAGCCTCGGGATGATATGGGATCAAACTCTGCATGAAAATAATTTTCAAAAGATTTATATGCATTATAACTTTGTGGCACATATTTGCTAATTTTATTTTGTGATTTTAGGTCCACTAGTGATTCACATCACTTAAATGAAAGAATTATAGGTAAAGATGAGCTGGATATGCTAGTTTAAGATCCTCATTCTGCAGGCTGAGAAAAAGAGCTGGCAACAATTTAATATTAAGAAGGGCTTATGACAGATTAGAACTTAACCTGCTGGCTCCCCTTTGTCACTCAAGTCTTGTCTTTTCAGTATTTAAGTCGTTATTAAAAGAGATAAAGGACATCAAGTTGTGCATTCTTAACTGCCAATTATGGATTAATCAATAGAGTCCCAACTGAATATTGGTATAAATGAACATATTTCGTTTTATCTACCTAAAATGGCTAAAACCAAAAGCAATTACTTCAAATTTGACTATTCATAGTATCCATACAGGAGGAAAAACTGGACTGTGTAAACATGAAAATTGCATTATGGTGAATTTTACTACTAGTATTAAAGTCCTCTAAGAAAAAAAAAAAATCTCTGTCCTTAAACTATCATTGTTAGAAATCCTTTCTAAAAATACTTTGAAGGGGTGTCTTTCTTCTCTTTGTAGCAGTGCGGTTTGATTATTATTTTTTTTTAATTTGACGTTTTCCAAAATGACTTTTCCACAACAGCAGAACCTTGCAGAGCACAGAAAAGTTGGAGAGACAAAGAGGGCGTGAGCCTGGCKTGGGGAGGGACTGAGATTCAAAGAAGTATAAGGAAAACAGAGGGCTTCTYGGCCCCCTCCTCCCGACCGCCAGCACCCCTGGCCTCCGCAGTCCTTCCGCGCCAGTGCCTCCGCCAGCMGACTGGATCGAGGGCTGCGTGCTCCGCCGCCTGTCATCCCAGGCCCGCGCGGAGCTGCGATTGGACGCGCCGCYGCCAGGCACCCGCCAGAAACACACACGCGCTGGAAAGAGGAAGGGGGCGTTCTTGCKAGTGGAGGGCTTTGGCTTTTTCTCSTCTCCCACCTCCTCTCGGCACTCCATGCGGGGTCTCTTGCTCCAGCTAGTCACGGCTCGCTCTCGTGGCGGGAGAGTTGGAGCAAACCTCGCCGCCGCCGCCTCCTGCCCGCCAGTGCCTATTCGCCTTCAGCGCCCTCCGCTTGAGCCATGGGGCCAACTCCAGGCTCCTAAGAGTTATTGGGATCTTGGCTGCTCGTTCACCAGCCAAAGAACCCGCGGGCTGGCTATGGCTTAGGGCGCAAGAAGGGTCAGCCTAGAGGTTACGGAAAGGGGAAGGGGCGGCTAACTGAGTAAGAGAGAAACCCGAAGAAAAAACAAACGATGAGTTTCCACAAAGAGGACGGAGTAAGCAGCCTGTGCCAGAAGGCGCTGCACATCGTCACCGAGCTGTGCTTCGCAGGCCAGGTGGAGTGGGAGAAGTGCTCGGGCATCTTTCCCCCGGACAGGGGCAGCCAGAGCGGAGGCAGCACAGGTAACCGGGGCTCTCTGGTGTTCGCGCTCTGCTGGGACCCCGCGCGCTCGCTCTAAGCTCCCGGGTGCTGATACTCGTGCGCCATGCCCGGGGCATCTTTAGGGCGCCGCGCCTTCCTACCTCTATCCTTCCTTTGACTCAGCCGCTGGCGACCTCGAGCGAGGGGTGTTTGGGTTGGGTTTCCACCTGTCTACCAGCCGGGCTTCTGCTSTGCTTCCTGCCTGCCGGCTTCTTTTGCTCCTGGCGCCTGCACCCGGTCTCTCTGCGCTCTCCCACGCCTCTGGTCTACATCCTGGAGTGAAAGAGGCTACGCAGGTGGAGACGCCGGGACCGCTTGCGGCGCGACTGCTTGCGGGGGCGATTCGCCTGCGGGACTCTGGTTGCCCTAGCTTCTCCTGCGTGTCGCGGGTCACCGGCTCCGCGAAGGAGCCAGGCGCGAGAATCTATGCTTGAACGCAAAGAATCTCCTGCACAGGGTGCTGCCTTGACCTTCAGGAACAGAAAGAGTCCCCAATCGGGTTAACTTTCAGCAGCAACCTGTGGAGTACTTGAGAGCTTTCAAAACCCTCAGCATGTATGATTTTTCTAATGAAAAGGGAAAAGGCTATAAGTCTTTTCCACACATACTTTCACACCCGTCCCCAACACCCCGACCTATAGCATCATTCCTATACCTCCGGGAAACTTGGAATAAAATGGGGTGGTGGGATGGAGAACATCCACCATCAGAAATCTGGAGATGGAAAGAAGTTTCAGGCGCCAGATGTTTTTCTTCTTCTTCTTCCCCCCCCCCCAAGGCTTGAGGGAAGGAGGCGAATCAGAGCCACCTTTAGTTACTCCTGGGGGAAAAGGTTTTGATTACCCGCGCAATAGTGGGGGAGGGAGACATGGGCAAATGACCCTCACTTGTTGCATTGGGAAACAAAACACCTGTGCTGAATTTTTCAGCATTTGACTAGAAGGTTGCCTTTCCTTCCGCAGGATCTCATTTTTTCCCTTTGCTTTCTCAGATCATTTTTGGTCTCCGGTGTGGGGTTTCATGGGTTAAGTGTAGCCCGGGCAACAGGTGAGAGCTGGATGGACAAGCTCTAGGCAGAGCAGGACAGTARAGAACCCAGAGTGAAAAGGACTGCACATGAGTGCTTCCCACACCACCCACCTCAAAGCAGTCACAGACAAAGGAAGGGGAAAGGTGGGAAGTGATTTGGTTTGGATTTACATACCATGTTTTAAGTGGCATATCTGCAGGGGTTTTCGTATTCTCTCCTTATGGCAACAGGAGCCAAGAGGGGCTTCTGTCTTTGCGTGGCAGTTCGTGAGATACTGCTGCTTAGACCCTGGAACACAATGATACACAATTGCTGCTATCAACCTGTTGGAAACTTAGATATTTGAGGAATATATAAACACAGCTGAGTCTTTTCTATTTGCTAAATTCTATTTTCTATTAAATTCTTGTAAGTGAATGAAATTCAATTAACACTGTAAGGGAATGAATGAACATCATGCATCATGTATACTTGTGTCCTGTGTATGATCTTTAAGCAGGAGGTAAAGAAATAGTATAACCTTAGAGTCCACTGTGGTGATATTGGGTCATATCTTSTGAAATGTCTTTTAGTGATACATAGGATTAAGTTAAGACTCTGCRAATAGGGTACAGGGTAAGTTTAAGGCCCCATGTTTTGGTCATTTATATTTGATGATTTAAATAAAACTACGGATTATTACCCTCTCCTGCCCCTTTGTAATCACACACCAAATAGTGGTTTCCTRGGACTTCTTGGCTGGTAATGTAAATGCATGAAGGTTGAAAACCAAATACAGTACTGCCTTCTAAATCTTTCCACTCTATACAACTATGTAAGCTTAAGATAAAACACACTATATGAATTTCTGRGTTTTTTCCTAAGCAGTATAAGAAGGTGTGTAGTCCTAATTTCTTTTRGACTATACCTTGGGAACAAAAAATGTAGAAAAATTAGTCTAAATTGTGTGAATATTTTTTCTCACCTTAAAGGAAAAACATAAGTAGGTTATTGAATTTAGTATGTGAACATATATATTAAGTGGCTGTTACTAGAGMTATTTTGCTAGGTGATATATGAAACAAAGGTAAACAAGATTGGTCTGCCTTTTCCATTTGCAAATTTATGCAACAGTTGGAAGTAAACTAATTTGCAAATAGACTTCCAATATGAATAGATATCTATGAAGTAGATACAAAGATATTTACTAAATATTAAATCTAATAACATTCATTAGCTACACAGCTACAAAGTATTCTGTAGATTTTCTTTTAACTAGTGCACTTGTGCCCTTTATTATAAGTCCCTAAATAAAAATACTTCCATAGTTGATCCTTCTGCTCATTGTTTAATGAGAAATCTTTGCTGGTAGGAGGACATCAATGGAATTTAATGGTGCAGTGGTTATTTACTTTGAAAGTAATTAGAAACAGAAGGAAGGAGAGTTAGGTAATTCCAGTTAAAGTTATTATTTCCACTATTATTAAAGGAGTTAAGAATCATATATATTTATGAGCTATTTTCCTACTTTTTCTAAAATGCCCCAAAGAGCAAGCATCACCATCTTTACCATAACATTGGCAAGAGAATCAGCAGTAGTGTTATTGCCATTTAGGACCCCTTCCAACCAAGTTGATCAGTCTCATATTTTAGTAAAATTTGTGACCAGTTAGATTATAGCTTTCAATATTAATTAATCTACTGTTTTAGAATAGTTGAGATAAAAACCATTACATGGATTCACATTACTAGCATACCAGAACATTCATCATGTGCAATTTTTGGAAAATTAGGTTTGGTGGAATTTTTTTAACCACTGATTCTCCCTCTCCCCCAAATAGATRTTACCCACTAAATTCATTTTATTGCACAATATGATAAATATTAGAATGTCTAGAAAAATACAAAACAATATGTTTTTCTCAATTTTTATTTTTCAGATAAACTAACTGAATATACATGATCATTTTTTAACTGGATTTAAGTTCAYTTCAGGTTAGTTTTTACTGCAGAMGTGTCTATCAGATTCAATAAAACCATGTTGCTTGAAAGACAGGCCTCATAAAATCACAGCTAATCAAACCGACTGAAGTTCACATTCACACATAATAGTTGCATAGTCCTACACTTAATATAAATATTTGAATAAGCACTTAATTCATCAGTGTTTCAATTTTGCATTTTTATACTATTTTAATTTGGGACTAAAGATCCTGAAGCAAAAATTTAGATAAATTCTTATAAGTTCATACATGTAGTCTTCGTTTTCTTACAGGTGGGGATAATGAGAAGGTACATATCAATGAAATTTACTGAAGCACTTCATTATTTAAAAAAAAAGAGATAACTAATTACAGTTTTTAAAATTACACCATGATTTTTCTCTGAGACCATAATTAGGGCTTAAAATGAATGGTGGGACTCAGTAGGTTTACTCAACAGACACAAAASAAAAAACTATTTAGTTGAGTTATCATTTTTGGATCACAGTAACTCTAGGTTTTGCACATCTTCCTGACTGTCTTAAGAATTACAGTTTAGAAACATTTATCAGTGGAAAATTTCCCTTGAGACTTGTAGGTCGGGAAAGAAAAAAATTGAAGCTCAATATACTCATGTGAAAAGGGATGCATGAAAACATCGTTTTTCCTTCCTTGACATCATCACTCCACTGGAAAATGGCCAATTTTTACTATTTCTTGTCTCATTGTCACATGATTATTAATGTACATTGCTCTTGGCCTCAATTTACTCCAAAAACAAAAGGAAGACTATCTTTGAAGGCCCAGCAAGTTATAGCAAACAACCATTTTCCCTTAATTCTGGGATATCTGGCAATATTGAAGGGATTTTTCTTTTTGCATTTTATTCTTGTAATAAACTAAGATCTATATTTCTTCTTTTGCTGAGTTAGGCATCTCTGAAATCTAGTTGCTATGCTAGTGATTTTATATAGTTGTCCATTTAATTTAAATCACATTTTCTTTATATCTTAATCTTCAATGTAATTTTTATGAAAAAAAAAGTTGATCATTTTTGGGAGTACATCTACATTCGTTTATAAGGGTTTTTTTTTTTTTTACAAAATTTTGGAAGAAGAAAAACAGTACCATAAATTTTAATGGAATTTCTAATGYTAATTAAAATTATATCTATTTTTGAAAGTTTAGATTCTTCCTGATCTAAATTTATTCTACTAATGATATGCACTTTTAAGTAACTAGAATGTAAGTTTTTTTGAGGGCAAGGGTTTGCTTATTCTTTAATCTGCRGTGATCTATGGTACATCCTAGAAGTTCAATAAATATTTGTTGAATGAATAAAATAAAATCCTATTTGTAAATGAATAAGTTCTATTTAATAATTTTCAATTACCCTGTGAAACTAAATTAGGTATACCTGTACCTTTGTGTCTCCAGTGTCTAATACAATATCATATAGATAAGTCTACAAAATATTTAGTCCATGATAATGGCAGGAAATAGAGCACTTGACCCAGTKAAAAGCTAGAATGTAATGAGAAACATACTCATGAAAAAGCAAATGAAAACAAAATGGATGTCCATTTATTTCTCCAGAGTGTGTTCAGTTACAACTGTGAGTCCATAGCTAAACTTGTAAGTGCACAATAAATCGACTCAGTTTACTGAAGTTCTAGGAAAGTGGGAATATCTGTTTAATCTAGATGCTCCTTGATTTATAATGGGATTATGTCCTGATGAACCCATCATAAATAGAAAATGTAAGTCTAATATATATTTAGTACCTAACCCACTGAACATTACAGCTTACTGTACCTATCTTAAATGTGCTCAGATCATGTACTTCAGTTTACAGCTGGGCATCACAAGAGAGTATTGYAGCACATATTGCTAGCATGCGAAAAGATCAGAATCCAAATTCAAAGTATGGTTTCTACCGTATTTGCACCACAGGAGAGTCATAACTCAGGGCCATCTGTATGTATGTATT